TTCCTGTGTAGTGAAATGTGCTGTAAATTCCAGCGTGTCCTTTAAAAAGTCTTTTTTTTCTTTTTTCTTTCCTTTCTCTTTTTTTTTTTTTTTTTCTTTTTTTCCCCCCTTGTTTTCCTTTGTTTTTTTTTTTTTTTTCTCTTTGTTTTCCCCCCAGGACCCCAACTATGGCTGGTGGCCTGTTTTCTATTGACAGGAACTACTTTGAAGAGATAGGAACTTACGATGCAGGAATGGATATCTGGGGTGGCGAGAATCTTGAAATGTCCTTTAGGGTAATTCCTGTTTTCCTTCCTTTTCTTTTCCCCAAAAAAAAAAAAAAAAAAAAAAAAAAACAAAAATCCACCAAACAAAGCCGAAATACACAAAAAAAAAAAAAAAAAAGCGAAAAAATTTCCTTTTTTTTTTTTTTTTTTTTTTTTTTTTTGGGTTTTTTTTTTTTTTTTTTTTTCTTTTCCCCAAAAAAAAAAAAAAAAAAAATTCCCCCCCATTTGTGCTGTCATTCCTTCAGGGAGCTCCTGCTTTAGCTGGCCTGCAAGTCGTGGGTTAAATGGAATTTTTGAAATTTGGGGAAACCTCGTTGGGGTGTTTTGGGAATTTTTTTTTTTTTTTTGCTGCATGGAATATTTTAATATTTTATCCCTCCAAAATCCCACATATTTTACTCATTCCTCTGTGGAAGGAATGAAGAGCCCAGTGAAAATTTAATATAAATTTATGTTCAAAAATAAAATTGAAGACGTTTTGGGAATGATGACTTGCAAGTTCTGGCTGGGATTCTGGGTGTGTGCCAGGGAAATTCTGTGTCCTGCAGAAAATGCTGATTTTCCTGCTGGGATAGGTGTGAGCCACAGCTCTGAGGGAAATGCATCCAGTCCTTGTCCTTTGGATAGAAAGGAAAAGTGGGAAATTGAGGCTTGGATAATGGTTGGGAATGGCTTTGATGTGTCACAATTTTGGGATTTAGTGATGGGAATAACCCCCAGGATCCCTCTGAAGCCCACAGCACATCCTGGGAATGCTCCTTCCCCATTTTCCTGTCTTTTCCATTCAACCAGCACCATTTTCCTTGCCAGGAACACCTTTGAAGTTTTTTTTAGGGAACGGATTTTTCCAGGGAAAGCCAGCTGGGAATTGGAAAATTTTCCAGGCCATTCCTCTGAACTTTAATTGTTCCCTTTGCAGGAAAATCAAAGGGTTCAGTTCCCCTCCTGAGCCTGGATGCTCCAAATGAGGAGATCCCAGGATTTTTTTTCCTGGTTTAACCCTAAAATTCCTCCTTGGATGTGCCAAGGTCCTTGGGCAGGAATGATTTTCCTTGGTTTTCCATGTTTTCCAGGAGATCCCTGGAGCAGGGAGTGTCAGGCACTGTTCCAACATTCCAAATGTCCTTTCCCACCCTAAACCAGTGAATTAATGGGGTCAGGGATAGGAATAAATCGGGATATTGCTGTGGGAAGGCCAGGGAATCACCTGGTGCTGTTTGTTGGGATTGAGAGCTCTGGAAGGAAAAGCAACTGAAAATCCAGGGATGTTTTGTGTGACTTTATCAGGGACACCAAAGGGTTCCAATCCCAGCTGGGGGAACAAATCCATGGGGAATTGGGAGCCAGGAGAGCTGAGGGATTGGGGAGGTTCCTCCCTGCCCTTATCCAGCAGGATTTGGGAATATTTCCTGTCAGGAAAACAACTGGGAGATGATTGGGATTGGAGCAGGGCATGGAGATGTTCCTGGAGCTGTTCTTACATCCAGGATTTTATCCCCAAAGGGTGGGAGGAGATTTGGGATTGGTTCAGAATAATTAAAATAAATTTCCCCCCAAATAAATTCCCCCTCAAAAAAAAGATTAAAAAAAAAAATCCAAAAAATAAACTCACCTCCCTCATATTTTGTGAATTCCTGAATTCTCCAAAATGTTCTTCCCTGGATCATGCCTGTCTCATCTGCATCCAGCTCCAGCATTATCCCAAAGAATAATTAAAAGGATTCCCAACTTTTTTTGCTCTCAGAGGCATTTCCAGGAGGAGCATCCATGGGGTATAATTTCAGTATTTTGGGAAAATCCATGAGTCTTTAATGATTCCTTTTAGGAATATCTTTCAATTAGGGAAAAATAATGATAATTCCTGTCAGGAATCTCTTACAGCTCCAAGGGTTTGCTTTAGCCAAGGAAAACCTGATTTATTCCTAAACTTCATTTTTATTTATGGAATTATTGCCATTTTTAGTTTTCTGTTAAATTCTCCGAGTGGTTTTATCCCACTTGGAGAACGCCCTGAAAACTTGATGCTCTGAAAGGAATTCCTATGGCTTTGGAAAGAGAATTAAAAATAATCTGTCCATCAGAAAAAAAAAAAAATTCCTTTGATATTATTCCTTAGGATAATCCAGGAAGGGCTGGGAAAGGGAATGTGAGCTCTGAGTGGGGCAGGATGGGGTTTATTTGGGATTTCTGGCACTGCTGGAAGCACAGGAGGGACAGGGAAAAGGGGATTTCCCTGGGGATGTGACAGTGCTGAGTTGTTCTGATCTCTGGAATTCCTGCTTGGGCTGTTCTGGGAATTGTGACAGGAAATTCCTT